TTACGAAAAAATCAAATGGATATTAAATAAAAAGTGTCGTAAATGATTTGTGTAACTGTAAAGTTTGTTAGCGCATTTAAGCAAAAAATAACAAAAGCAGCAAAATAAAATCATTGAAAGTGCTCCACCCTAATAAAAGGATTATGAAACAGCAGCTGTTGTTCTATTACAAGGGAAATGCTTTACTTAATACTATAGTTTTGTCATTTCGTTCGCAACACAAAGGTCTTGCTTAGCACATAAGAGTTATAACCGTAACTCTCACGTAATCAGGTAAGCGACACAAACATTTGAGATGAGATTAGACATGAAACCAAAAAGGTCTTAATATTATTATTACATACTTATTAACACATTAGAATTGAAGGAAATTTAATGAGAAACTCAAGAAACTTTGTTAAAAATTTCCGTTATAACCAAGAACTACGCAGTTCCTAAGAGGGAGTAGGTGTTTATATTCTTCTATTCATATTCTGACACGAAGAGAAAATCATTCTAAGGTTGAAAGAGTTTATATAGTCATCATGAATACTAGCCATTCAGATCTGTAGGCATCGCTAGTTTCTTTTAATTCTGTCTTGCCCTAGTCACGAACGTCTGTTGAAAATATGTTTACCGGAGGCAATGTTTCGTAATTTAAATTATGACGTCTAGGCTAGGTAAATCCGATTTTATAAGCAACCAGCTCTGGTCTCCAACAGCTTTGCAGGTATGTAACTGTTAAAGCTGGAATGCATCGATTGACGTGCCACAGTTCATATATACGTAGAAGTGCAGATGTGCTAACCATATTAACCTCTATTAAGGGTTCTCCATAATAATAATTACGATAAAGGCAAACTTATTAAGTATGACAGTACTTTTTATGGCATACGTGTTTCAGTTTCAAAATACTTCTGGACATAAGGAAGTTATGAAAAAAGTAATAAATATATTTATTTTTAATTACTCTTATATTTATTTTTATATAATATTTTAAGGGGTTCGAATGAGATGAACATTCTTTTTTAAACAGCTAGCTATTTAGCAGATACTCTGGTTTCATGGTTAAAGAACGACCATTAGTCGTAATGTAGCTTGTATTATATAGTGGTAACTTCATGACAAATGCCATATACCCATTTTATCAAAACCTTTACAAAGTATATTCTTCATCAGCATCAAATTGCAAATCGACTTAAGCACGTCCGTTGGTCCGTCCGTGCAATGTTGATTCTAACCATTCTCTTGGCCACAAGAAGGAAACTATCAACGTCAAATTTGCAGAAGCATTGGAAGTTCTTACGCGCAGGTTGGTATTGAAAATGGGCTAAGTCAATTGAAAGACACGCTCTGAAATGCGAAGACCTCTGTTTTTCAAGTGGGATAAGAAATTGGTTTTTTGCTCGTTACTCATAAACTAGTAGTAAATGTACAAAAATTTGGATGGGTATTCTAAGGGCGATCCTGTAGCGCCTCTATAAAAATGGAAAAAGTTTATCATCCTTATCCAATATTATAGGATACCAAAATTGAATTTATATACTTTTAGAAACTTGTAAAAATAAGGTTCAAAAGCTTCATAATGTACGTAAATTCTTGGCCAGTTTCAAATTTGAAATGCATATAAATATGTCCGTCTGCTCGTTTGTGCATATCTATCGGCAACTGCATTTGTGGTAAACATTCTATCGTCCCCAAATTTGCAAAGGAAATTAGAAGTGGCTTAAACGTTTCTAAGGATACGCCCGTAACACCCACACACCTGTGCGAAAAAGGCTTTTAGCGCATATAGAGCATGTAAATTTAATTCTTTACTTTTTACCTTTTTAGGATTAAACTAATGGGTATAAAAAATACGCTCACGACCGAATATAATTTTCTTAGCTGTTTTCTTCGTTTTTCTCTTAGAATAGCGACGAAGGGCTGATCGTTGTATTTGTGGAAACGAGAGAAAGTAAATATATGTAAATAGGTATTAAAAGATGAATTCAAAATAAAAACCGGAATACATAAGAATTCTTGGAGCGAATTGAGCTGAGACAAAATAATTTCGTCTAGCATAAGCCGTCTCATTTCCGGATGGTTCAGAAGCATTGTACGCTGAGGAGTATTAGACACATTCTTGCGATTCTCCGCTCTTGTATGCT